TTGTAGCGGAGGTTCATTTCAAAGGGATTTGCCAGGCTGTGACTGTTAGATCTAAGACATTCTGCAAATGGATGGGAAAGAGTGGAGATCAGATTAAGAATTTATCTTGAAAAGACAAAAGCAATGAAAAGTATATGGATGAGCACATGTCTGTGTTTTCATCAAAGGAGACTTTTTTTCATACCCTTCCTTTTTAATCCTTGCAGAAATGTTTCATGTAGATACAAGGTTAATTGTTCACACTTATCTTCTTGGCTAGATTTTAATAGCTTGAGTTTAAGAATGATTTCCTCACCTGCCTCTTCCTCATGAACTTTTGTTGAATTAAACACAATCTAACGGGTCTGTAGCACTCAGTTTGCCATGCCAGAGAGGTACTGCTTTAGGAAGACAGGATATGAGGAAAGTACTGCAAAGAGACAAAGGTCGCTCTTCTAAGTCACAGCCACATTTCTAATCCCTGATTCCATGTCCTTCTAAGTAGGCAAGAGCAGGGAAAACATATTAATAACATGGAGTTTATTTTATCCAAAATACCTAGACTTAATCAAATGTAGTTTTTAATTATGAATGTATTAATTATTATTCATTACTAGGTAACTATCAAGTAAGGCAACCCCAAGTTTTTTTGGAGGATAAAACAAGCGATACAGTAAAATGTATTTTGTGTCCTTCCATCCAGCTCACCCCATTACACCTAGATATCCACCATATTCTAGAAAAAATTAACTTCTTAATAAAAGATTTTACTGGCAAATACAATATGTATTCCAAACAGATTCTCTAAATAACTCTAAAGTGTCATTGATTAAAATTGTAGTGACTTTTCTGTTACACAACCTAATTAATCTGTACCCCAAAATAAAGAAGCTTTATCATTGAAGAGGAAAAAAAGTGAATTTTTCTCTCTAAAAGGCACAGTATATTTATCCAAGGATTTATTAAACTAAAATCCGGGGCTGGGGATTTAGCTCAGTGGCAAAGCGCCTGCCTGGCAAGCTCAAGGTCGTGAGTTCGGTTCCCGGTACCGGAGAAAAAACCAAAAACCAAAAAAAAAAAAAAAACTAAAATCCATATCATATACCACTTTAGGTTTATTTATGAATTTTATACATTATTTGTCATGAAAATATATAATGGTTGTGCCTTATTCAAGGAGATATATGTCCTCATTAAAAATATATTTTCTTTGATTTCTGTTTTTCAACTCATGATTAACCACACTAATGAAGAGAAATAACAGCAGTGAAAATTCAGTGTGGAGAAATCCAAAGCAATTTATTTTTGGCATCAATGTCCTTCTTTCATTTTGCAGTAGAATTGTGATAGCCAAAATGGTTTTACTTAAATGTTTGAGGTCATTATAGTTTTATAATGTTTAGTATTTTAGCTGACCCCCAAATATTCAAACCGGACATGTTATGATTGATGTATAAAATCTTAAATCAGATTTAAAAATTGTTACAGCTATACTGGAAGTTAAATGAGGTACATAGGAAAAATTAGTTGATTTTACCAAAACAGGAGAAAAAATTCTGCTGATTTCTTAGTACAATCTTCATATACATAAATTGCTTAATCCAAATCCAAAATTAAGTAGAAACAACTGGATGTAATTTTTTTCCTTTTTAAATAACATTTTCACCTATATTCAATCAATCTCCAAAATCTGATTGTCTATAAAATAGTATTGTATCACATAGAAATAAAGCTAATAGCTCTATTTTTTTTTTTTTTTTTTTTGGTTTTTCTCCGGTACCAGGAACCGAGCTCATGACCTTGCGCTTGCCAGGCAGGCGCTTTTGCCGCTGAGCTAAATCCCCAGCCCTAATAGCTCTATTTCTAATGTTTGTTCAAGTTAATATTTATTTCATTTTAAAGGATAATCTCTGAGAGATTATGAACATAGGCACATATGAACCATACCAAAATGCACTACGAAAATGTCACACAGAACCCAATAAGATCCATAATTAACCTGCGCTAAATATATATATATATTTAATAGGGCTTTTTCTGTTAGCATATGATGTTAGCAACATATTGTAGTAGCAGTTAGGAAGAGCTTCAGATTTCAGATCATATGAACCCAAATCTTGACTCTGTCCTTTGGTTGGAACATCACCTGGGCAAAAATCTAACCTTCTTGGTTCCTCAATTTCCTCATCCACCTTGTAGGACCATTGTGAAGATTAATAAACATATATATATCTATCTAGATAGACTGTTAGGTAGATAGGTAGGTAGGTAGGTAGATAGGTACATATAGAGATGATAGATAGATAAATAATAAATAAAATAATGATTCAAAATAATAATTTTCAGAAATACTAGTTGTATCATAAACTTCAATTTATTTAATAACAAATTAGTAATTTATAAATCTTTCAAAATTAAAGGACATGAGTCTTACATTATTACATGGTAATAATGTTTCTCTCCTTTATAGAAATCTTGCCTTTTTTTTTAAGAAATGGGAGATGAGTTGGAATTCAACACAATGTCAAAAACACAGAAAGTAAAAATCACAGCATCTTTATTACCATTGAATGCACTGATTATTGAAATTCTAAACATTAATATCCATGTCACAGATAGCTCAGTTATTAGGGTTCATGATTCCATCATAAAAATTCATTTCCAAAAAAAATTCTAGAAATACATTATAGTCTGTGTTTCATTGTTTTTTCATTTACTGTCTTTGAATGTATTGTCATAGCTGATTGGTAATTAAAGTTAAAATTAATTCTTACAATCCATATACCTTGTAAATTCTCATCTGATCATAGGTGGAGGTTTTGGAATGTGACTGTCCCATGGGCTTATAGCTGACTTGTGTGGAGGTAGAAGCAGTAGATCACTGGAGAAATGGCCTGGAGAGTTACATCTCCTTTCTTGGCTCCTTGCTTGACTCCCTGCTTCCTGTCTGCCTTGCCATGAGCAGCTCTTCCCACCATTTGCTTCTGCCTTGTCACCCTGCATTGGAGGTAGCTGACTATGCAATGAAACTTCTGCAAACTGTGAGCCAAAATAAAGTTCTGCTCATTTAATTTGTTGGAATCTGGTATTGTGTTCCAGTCACAACAAAGTGATCAAGACACTCCGCTACAGCAACTTTGTTAATTAGATTTTTGTCTATTTAAATAAATAAGAGATGAGTTGAAATTCAATACACTGTCACACACACAAAATAAAAATTAAAGCATCTTCATCATCACTGGACTCACTGACTATGGCAAATTTTACTGTTGATATCTATTTCACGGATAACTCTCAGTTTCAAGGTTTATGAATCATTACAAAAAATCACTTCCTAAGAAAGTGCATAAATACAACTCAGTTTTGTGTGTCATTATTTTTTCCCATTCCGTGTCTTATAGTGTATTGGCATGTCTTATTTATAACATAAGTCAAGATTAAATTTTTAGAATTCTACTTTGTGTATTCCACAAATAAAAATATGCAACAATATTGAAATAGTATGAAGTATATAAGAAAGAAGCTAATTGTAAAGGAATGATTGGATGTGAATGACTGTTTCTGATTCCAGATTAATATAGACATTGATGACAGTCCATGTCCAGGCCCGTGCAATTAGGTTCTCTCTCACAGAGTTTTGCTTTTGTGACATGGTTCCCAAACAATAAGCAAAAAATATTCTAGAAATAGCAATAACTCTAAGTACTTTTTAGTAATATATTATGACTGTCATTCAATCATTTCCCTAAACATTTTGAAAAAAGATATCTACTTGTAAAATGATACTATTTAGAACTTGAATATGCCCCAAAGATCCATGTTTAAGGCTTGGTTCCCATGGGGTAGCATCTTATTGGGAGGTGATGGAAACTTGAACCAGTGAGGTCTTTTGGCAAGTCCTTACATCATCTGTGCATGCTCCCTAAGGTAACTGTGGGATGCTAGTTCCTCTCCTTCCTTTTATTTGTTCCTGCTCACGATACAAGAAGTGTACTCTCCCGTGTATCCTTATCATGGTATAATTACTTTCCTAAGTGACTAAAGCAAAGGAGTCACCAAACTTGGACAAAAATATTCAGAACCATAGGCCAAAATAAATCTTTGCTCTTTATAAATTATTTCCTTCAAGTGTTTTATTTTTTTTATTTTTTTTTATTTTTTTTTGGTTTTTCTCCGGTACCGGGAACCGAACTCATGACCTTGCGCTTGCCAGGCAGGCGCTTTGCCGCTGAGCTAAATCCCCAGCCCTCAAGTGTTTTATTACAGTACCAGAAAACTGACTAATATATAACTGCCCCAATTCACTGACCATTGATTTTGCAAGGGTGTTATTTAGCCTATGTAAGCCAGAATTTTCTTGTGTTTTAAACCTAAAAAAGGGAGATTCATAAGCTCTAATACCATGGAATGTAGTACACAAATTTCTTTATTCATATAGTTATGATAGCATTGTGTTTGATGTTACCATTTTCATTGTATATGTAGGAGTATTTCCATTTCCATCCATATGCCCTGCTTATCCTTCCGAAGATGAGGCAACTAGAACTGCAAGCTGTGTGCACAGAGATGAGAGATTCCTAATTTAGTGTAAAGCTTTTTCTTTTCATTCTTGTTAAGACTTCAGTTGAGTATAATTGTCAGTATGCTCTACTTTCAGTGAAATGCTTTACGAGCTGAGAAGGAGACTGAAAAGTAGTTTGTTTTGAAATTTTGCACAAATAAAATTATTTCCCAGGAAATGCACTTGAAAATTGGATGAAGCTTTTTGTATCAAGTAACAAAACTGGTTATATTGAAGTTCAAGTGCCCAAATAAATAATATAAATCATGTATATAAAAATAAAAGATAAAAGATACCCTGACATAATCATGATAACTAGATTATTTCTATACTGTGCTGTAATAAACATAATTACTTTATATATTTCTATTCATTTATATGTTCCAATTTTAAAGTCTAATCCAACAATAAGTGTAATGTGCACTTAAAGATTTTTATTTTAAAATAATTAAATTCTTACCCAGATCGAAGGGTTTTCCTGGACTCCACATACGGAAATAATCATCCTAAAGGGGGGAAATAATGTAAATTGAGTGAAAATGAGTAATTTCAATGTAGGGATTTATATAAAATATAAAATAATATATGAAACACAGAAGTTGCATACAAACCTCTACTTCCTTCAATGGCAAGCAGCAAAGTATAAAAAAAAATTGAAAACAAATGAAAAATAAAAAAGGAACAAGAAAAAAAGAATAGTTATCAAAAGGAAGACAATATTTACAAGTTACAAAATGTCTTTTAATGACTGTGTTCATTTATATTGCAAATCAATAGTTCCCATAACAATTTAACTATTTTTGGTTGTTCCTGCTCCTAAATGTTAAAATGTTATACCCTCAATTGCATTTCCATGCATAATATAACATGCTGATAATTATCCTAAATTAATGTGCTATAAAGTGTCTTATACTTTCCAATTATATAATTTTATTTCGCACTAGTAAAATAGTAGATGGAACCATTCATATAGCAAGGAAAATATCAAGTGATTCTGCAGTAGCCCATAGAGTATATACACTTTATGTAAATCATTCACATTAATTGAATATCTGAGGAGTTCATCAAAATGCAATTGGGAACCTGAAAAACATGCACACCTAATTAAATCCTGGCTAATGTTGAAATCATTAATATGAAAAGAATTGCAATATATTTATAATACATTTAGTAAATATAATTGTAAAACCTACAATGGGGGGAAAGTTTACTGGAAAAAATTTGAAAAGCAAAACCAAAAGAACTAAATCTATTTTATTTACTGTCTTTGCTACTCCAAAAGCCATGAAGAAGCACTACATCCTTATCAAAATAAGGCTTCATAGTTAAAAGTAGCATTCTGCTTTCAATGAGCACATCGCTGTGGAACAGAAACAATTCCTTGCTCCTTACTTTTATTCACTCAAGCCATTTGATGTTAAAGATACAGAACTTGGAAAATCCAATGGGTATTTTGGATTCTACTTTAAATTCTACATTGTATAAACAGGAAAAACTAATGTCTTAATTATTAAAATGAACCCAACTCTCTATTTATGAAAAAAGTTTAAATTATTTTTCCAAATGTTCCATTAATTGTGACTATTTACCACCCCCTTATGTACTGTCACTGATCAACTTCAAAGGACTGAAAACATGAAAAAGAAAGAAAGAAAGAAAGAAAGAAAGAAAGAAAGAAAGAAGAAAGAAAGAGAAAATTTACTAACCTACAGAGAAAAACATCTATAATGAAGACATGTTTATCAGCCTTGTAACATAACTGTATGTCCAGATAGAATCTCAGGCAGAGGGAAATGAGGACAATTCATTCTCATAGGTCCTGCACTAAATTATCTAGTATTAGATCAAGGCAGGATAATGTCACTGGGTAATTAAATAAACATTGATTATTTAATCACTTTTTAAAAACAATTTCATCACGATAAAAATCTTGGAAAACTAAGCTTTCAAATTAAATCACTCCACCAAGAATCTCAAAAGTTGAGCTGAAGATTATTAAACACTCATTTAATGTTTTTTTATTCTTTTAAATTATATCTTGCTGTTTAGGGACACTGATTAGCCTTTATTCCACACATTGTGATGATTTGGACAGTTATGATTTTTAAGTCTCCACTAAAGCCCAACAGAACCTGAACATGAGGGCATGAATAATGGATTTGAAGTCACGCAATCTTGAATTTATATCCGGCTTTCTAGTAGCATCCCTTTAGAAGAAGTGACGAACTACAACTCAGACCTTTGTAACTAAAGCTGGAAAAATATTGCCTACTTATTTGAGGGGGTGCTAAGGGAATAAATCATAAAATATATAAGATACTGGCAGAATATCTGGCATAGAGGTAGTGCTAGTGTTTAATAATTACTGAGAATAACCAAGGTCATCTTGTTAATGACTTAGGGACTCACCATTGGATAAGCTCTCATGACTGTTGACAAAATCTTTTAGTTACTTACATTTCTTGAAAACAGCCATGTATTCCTCCATTGTAAAAGAATATTAAAAAAGATTATGATGGTAAAATTTAACCTTGATTGCATTTAATTAACTTCCTTTAGAATAACATCATTAAATTTGGTTAGTTTGGGACCATAGTTATATAAAAGTCTAAATCACAGTGGAAAGAGGGCAGGGGCTGATTCTTTTGTTCTTGTCAAGGACAACATTCAAGTCTGGCTATTGTATGGAAAAGCAAAGCAGTTAGCTTTCTAGGCTATTTTTAGACATAGTCTTTGTGTTCTCACATCACTGGACTTTTTTTTTAATGGTTTCACTTCATTAAATCTTAGGAATTTTGCCAGAATAAAAAATACAAGTATTTTTGCATAAGTGCTCATTCAGGCACAAAATTTCTTTTGTTTCAAAATCTTTGTGTGAATATTGGTTGTTCTTAGACTTCAATTTAGATCCAAAATAAGCCAGCCAGAGCTTTACAAAACAACTGCAAGAAATGGTTTCACAGGGAGAAATTGAGGTTTAGACAACTATAGGCAGAACCTTATTTATTCAATAGACAAAGTTGGATTCTTGTTACTCAGCATCAAAATCATATTCTATTGAATTAAAGAGACAGTAAAAATTTAACATGTTTCCTATCATACTTTTGCCAGTTTCTTATACTTAAAGAAATAGAAATTGTTAGTTTCTCACAAAATAGCTGGCAAAGAATTCTGATATGTGTGTTACACTTTTGATAGTACCTTTTTCCTTATGTTTTTAATGTTAGGTCTTCTCAGTCAGACCCCACCCAACCTGAAGAGAAAATCCCCACAGATTCACTACTGTACACGCAGGAAGACCCTCACTCATCCTGAGAGACTAAAATAACTCTGTTTATCAGGTTGGCTCCCAGACCTGGTTCTCAGGCTTAGAGGAAACCCTGTAAGTCTGAAGAATGCCACTCTGTAAGTCAGAAAAGTGCTACTGTCATCCTGCACTTCACCCAGGTGCTCCCCACCAGAGGCGCCAATGACCCCTGAGGAACATAAAATTTTGCATCTCCCTTGGTGGGTCCCCAACCCATCCTGTGCCTAAAGGACACTCTAAAGCTTATTGTCTGCCTTTGTTCATGGTCAACGGCCTTCTCATCCTTGGCCCGACTGCACCTGGTTAAAAATAAAGATATTGCTGCTTGCTTCAACCTTGCCTGTCCTCGTGGTCTCAAACACTCCTTGGGGTCTAGCCTAACATTTAATGCTGTGTCTTTTCTTCAAGTTTCAAATGAAATACACATGCAATACAGAGGACAGCATTGCAGCCTGCACTATTATCGATATTACAGGCCAAATAAGTACTTGATGCATTGAAGGTAAGTGGGTTGTCATGTGCATTAAGGACTGTTTGACAGCATCGTGAGCTGTTACTACTGAGATACAGGTACGCATTCTCACCAAAGCTGTGATGCGTCACCAGAGTGCCAGATGTCCACTGGAGGAAATATCACTGATTTGAGGGCCCCCGAAGTAGAGTTAATGGAAAATATAAAAAGAAAAATGAGGGGCTGGGGATTTAGCTCAGCGGCAAAAGCGCCTGCCTGGCAAGCGCAAGGTCGTGAGTTCGGTTCCCGGTACCGGAGAAAAACCAAAA